TGCATGTACTGCTTTCATTGGTCCAGAGCCCTTCTGCGGGATAACAAATAGCTTCACAAATAGCTTATTATGTGAACGGACGAAACAACATCTACTTGAACACTGGAGAGCCCAAACAGGCATGCGAGAGTCAAAAAGATTCATTGATCCTAAACACATCAAAGTTGATGCTATTCTTGGCCTTAGCAGAAACGATATTAAAATCTACACTAAACTTCTTACAGGACACTGTAGACTTAATTACCACATGAAGATTATAGGTGTGGCAGAAAGTGACTCCTGTCGACTCTGTCATAAGGAGAAGGAAACATCAGAACATGTTCTATGCAACTGTCCAGCGGTGGCAAGACGTAGACTCGATTACCTTGGAAACGGGATATTAGTCCCAAGTCAAATAGGTAAAATTAAGTCCACAGCAATTACAAGATTTATAAATAGTCTAAAATTGTCCTAGTTGGGCTTTTAGGCGCACAATAGATCTTTTAGTTCAGGGTGCTTTAATAGCCCATTAGTTAAATAATAATATGGACTTTCTGTCACCAGAACAGATTAGGAGTTCTTCTCTGGATTTAGTTTTGGACTTTGTTTACAAAGCTTTAAAAAGCTTTGTGTAATAAATGGTGAAATTGGTACAATAGGACTCTTCTGGCCGTAGTACGCCATAGAAATGTCTTCAATCTCTAGAAGTGTGAAAATTTAATCACTTTCATACTATGAATTATATGATTATAGGTATGATATCCTAACAATAATAAAGTGCTTAGAAGACGTAGTTGAGTTTCTTCACCAAGTGGTAATACCAGACTCTCCCATCTATTGTGTAGGGTATCACTTGGGATACTACGAATATCAAATAAGATTGTTGAATTTAAATTATGTTTTGCTAGCGAACATTTGTGCACCAATTTGAAAAGAAACGAAAACATTTATTTTGCATTTATTAATAAAAATACCAAAATACAAAATACAAGACAACATCTGTAAATGCTGCATTTAAATAGAATATAAGTATTAAAAAATATATATATTTTTATTTGGCACCAAACAATTATTTTTATAGAGCACACGAAAATATCTATAAAAAATTTCATCGAAATTTTTAATATTTTTACACATTAAAACGTCTCAACTATTAAGCAATGCGAATAAATTTCAAATACCACAAATTCTTTCACTAATTTTCGAGACATAAATAATTCCTAAAGAAACAAAGTCAAATAAATTTTATAAATTTAAATTTAAACCTTTAATTTTCTACAAATTTATTAAGAAATTATCGAAAAAATCAATTTTTCAAAATTTAAATTGGGAACTTTCACAAATTTGCTGTCGAAAGATACTCATCATTTTTTTTATAAGCCAACACACGCTCCAAAGACATAAGATTCACTGATGATACTAGTAGCATAAGTACAATAGTTGTGATCCATTAACTCATAGATAACTCATACGCATACGCAAATAAAGCTAAATACTCGGGCATGACTAGGCTAGATGCGAGACTTCGGTGGTATGAACACGTCAAGAACTAAACCTTACATTCAACTGAATTAGGTGACTACTTGAATGACATTCCGTTATGTCAATCGAAAACAAGCTGATAATATACATGCAGGTACTATGTCCAATTTGGACCTACGGATCTCAACTACAAGGTTGCACATCTGAGTCAAATAAGCAGATAATCCAACGATATCAAAATTACATCCTAAGAACAATTACCAATGCTCCATTGTATGTCCGTAACAGCAACCTACATCGTTACTTGCAAGTTCCGATAGTTGATATAATAATTACGCTTCAGGCTGAAGCATATAAAAAAAGACTTGAAGTTCACTACAACACATAAGCTTAATCACTCCTTAAAACAGAAGGAGTGACGAAATCGTCTGCTTTAACTAATTAAATTAAGTATTAATCATTATACCGTAATATTATAGATTAATATAGGCTATTTTAAATTCCCAACATAAAAATATTGCTAATTAGTTTTTATTTATAGCTATACTATAATTGTATAGTAGACAATATTCAACTGGCTCTCTATCAAATACTACCTAAAAAGCACCAAAGAAGGATGTTGATGGAATAACATTAGTTCAGAACAATGTTTCTCGGTATTATTTTGCTTTTTTTTGTTCCTATAGAACAAATAGACACATCACATAGCTCCACAACTAGAAGTGTCTCTCAACTAAAAGGATCAACTCCTAAGAGGATCAACTCCTAAAAGGATCAACTCCTAAGAGAATCAATTTACATAAAACCCAAATTTTAGTAATTTGCTACTCTATGAGGCGTATGCCCCACATTAGGAAATACTGGTACATTGATTTTTTTTCAGTGATCTTTAAGAATTACTACTATTTTGATAAAAGTATTCTATATTAGTTACTCCAAGCTTTTTTTCCAGAGTTAGACTTTACCGTTCTTTATTGATCTGTCCAAACAAAGCATTCGATAATTACAACAGAAGTAAAACCCATTGTGCCATTAAAAAAAAAATGGCACAGAGGTTTATATGGCATTACCATTTGATATTTTTAAATTATCAACATATTCATCAAGGAAAGTGATTACGTTATGAACAGATCAACAAGTACCCGTTCAAGTATCTTCAACACCAATCGTTCACATGTTAAGGAAAGTCAGTATCTCATAAACGAGTATCTGTTCAAACACATATTCTGGTTACCAATCATTCACATGTTGGAAAGAGTCATTACCATATCTAGAGTCTTTGTATTATAAAATATTATTTAAATATTTTTCCGGGTATATCTTTAATTAACTTCATTGCCCCCATATTGAATGCTCTTCTTTACCTTCAAGGAAAATGAAATCCGCGAAGTGGGTTAGATTATGGAAGAAAATAAAGGCAAACTTATTTTTTAAGCTGAACTAATGTATACTGCGTCATTTTTGAGCGGAAGTTATATATTGATGATCACTTCAAGTCACTAAACTCGTTTCTAGCTTTGGATAGACCAGTTTAATAGCAGTATTTTTATGACTTAAGAATCCTTAATTGAGTTGTAACACGAAATATTCCATTGTTTTCCATCTCACAATCCAATCGTATCAAATAGTTATATATTATACGTATTCTCTCTCGTTTACTAAATGAGGATCTATTAATTTTTAATGACTTGTTGGAAAATATGTTCAAACGCGAATAATCGCTGTTTTTATCACTTTACACAATGCCGCGGCTATATTTAATTTTCTAGTTTATTTTTTTCTAATGGCCCATAAGTGAACTATAAAATTGTTATAATTCAGATTGTTGACTTCTTGGCATGGGTGCGCACGCATCCGCCGGTACACAAACACCCGTACGTACGTACACTTACCATACTCGAACAATACCAAACGCACGGAGGAACACATTTTCATCTGAAATTATTAAATTTATTTAGATATTTTTAAAAAGAAAATCTTTAAGAACATTTTCACGTAACTCAGTGCCCAGCTGTGCCAGAGAATTTATGAAAGTTTGGCGCTTTACAAATTTAATGCCTTTTAGTGGGTGTCGGTAATATCGAACATAAAACTGAAGAAGCGAAAAATATACTCGTAAAGCAATAATATTTCGAATATGTTTAACAAGAAAAAATGTGCTTATTTTCAAAGATTTAAAAAAGTTTTATTATAAATTAAATGCTTGACATTAAATTTGTTAAGTTTTTCACATTCTGATGTAGTATAGGAATCGAGCACTCTCTTTTTATAAAGAGTCAAAGTCGTCTTTTAGTCAAAGTTGTCTGAAACTTTATATAGAGACTTGTATTTGTTAACCGGAATTAAAGACTATATGTTCCCTTCATAGTTAATCTTCTAGTCTCCTTGTATATTTCTTCTAGCCTTGCCTTCAAGTGTCTTCAAACATGATAAGAGTCAACCGACTACAGACTGATTGCTTGGTAATTATTACATTGTGTCGATTGATCCGGATTTTAATTATTTATAGATAATACCAAATTTTTATATCTGCCGTTAGGAAGTCCCCATTTGCTAAATAACTCATTTAGCTTTTCACAATTTTCTTATCGAAAACATTTCGAAGTTACGAAATGTTTTGTGGCCATTCATCGCAATGTGGTCTGGATCTGTTTAAAAATGAAAGCAATCCGATAAAAAAAACTATGATTCTTAATAAAACACAGTATATGGACTATACAGCACATTTTGTATATATAAGCCAAATAAGCGAACTCTGTTTCACTCTATGTTGTATAAGGTTGTTCCTATTATCTGCTCCTATTATCTGCCCCCTCCTTAGACCACATCCTTTGCTTTCTGTTGCCTCGATCAAAAGAGGGTTACTATTAGAAATTACTTCATATGATTATAAAAGACTTATCGTCTATTGTCTTGGCCTCGCTGATAATAACTTATATCCACTTCATTTTAAAGACAGGGACACCATGAAACATTTACATTTTTTTTCCACCTCTCAAAAGAATTTTTTTTTTAAGTTTTTAGAATTTTTTTTTATAGGATTATATATCTGATATATGAATAAATCACACGTGATCCCCAGTATTTGCTCTTATATTGTAACATAATGTTTTCTTAACTTTATGTGTTCAGTTTTCGTTAACAATTATTTTCGTCAATTATTAAAATAATCTTATAGATATAGTATATCATTATAACCTATTGAAATTCTTTGTCATTTAACAAGCAACTTGAAATGAAGTTTAATAATATATAAAGCTACATTTCCATCTATTCAAAAATCATCTGTGATGAGGATTGTGTTTCCAATTTGTAACATTCAGAATTTTAAGCATGGTTCATCCGGGAAAAGTTCTGATAGAGATTTGATATATACTGTGAAGTCGTGCTATCACTTATTATAGAATTAAAAATTGACATATATTCATATATACATAATTCCTTATAAAAATAAAAATAATAATAATAAACATATAAAAATAAAATGTTCGAAATTTTTGAATAAGTAAATTTCATCTCAATTTTTTTAGTTGCTTTAAAGTATTTAGAGCTGCCTTGTATTATATTAACATTTAATTTTAATCACAATTTTTCTTGGTGACATTGATATATAGAATTATCTGATGACTGCTGTTATTGTCATTCTTGAGAATAACTTCATTTTCCTTAAACAGTTATCCGCTGATATTGATCCTATTAGGATAATGTATTCGTACTAAGCCAAATATTCAACTTGTAATCCATTAATATCTCCTGCTGTACCAGTCCCCTCAGACTAATACAACGACCACAGATCAGTAACTCTTGCAGATATATTTCATTGATTTTATTATTTACATCACTTTTGACGGCAATGAAAGTAAAATAATTTAAAGTTGAGTCCTGAAATAATGAGTTAATGGTTAATGAGTTAATTCTTGAATATTGTTTAATAAAAACATATTACCTTTCAATCTCCAGTACCAAATTCAGAGAAGAAAAAAACTATTTTTTACCAAAATTTTAGCTGTTGACATTATATCTCAGTTCGGCATCGTCGATCATATCTGAATATATAATTATTAATATTGAAAAATTGTATAAATTTTAAATAATATTTTTCACTACATGCTTTTACTAATCATACTAATAAAAGAATTATATATTAATGATCAAATTATGCGTTTAATCATATTTTTTTTTTAATGATTTCTTATATAATTAATTTATTTAAATTATTATTTAAATTATATATAATTTAATATTTATTTAATTATTATTTATTTATATTATATTTAGTTATATTATATAAATGAATATATATTAATTACATATAATAAATTATATTTAATTATTTTATAATTGAATTACTTTTTTATTCACATTTGTTAATATTATATAACTTAAAATTATTATTTAATACTACTATATCATTTAATATTAGTATTTATTACTATTATGTTATCTATTATTATTTAATTATAAACGTTTTATAATTTTTAATAATATTATTATTGCATAACATTATTGTATATTTTTGTACGGATTAATTGGTTAATGTTTTATAATATACAACTTTTTAAATTAGTTTCTAAAAAATGTTATTGTTACCGACATTTTACATATAGTCTATAGACATCTATACCCTAAGAATGACTAAAATAAAATAAAATTATTTTATGTATAAAATAAAAAAAGGGTCAGTTGGTTAAGAAGCGCTGACTCTGAGCTTACAATTTGGCAGGGCACGAGTTCAATCCTTAATACTTGCTGTCTCAAAAAATTATTTACGAAAAATTAAATACAGGAGTTATGTCCAAAACCACTGATGATGGGTGTTTGACTATACTTGAAACAGCTGTATTATCAGTCGCAAGTACAATTAATTAAAATAATATAAAAATAGTTTTTGTTGTTGTAGCTCACTACTGTTCAAAATTTCTCTATTTATCGAAATATTAATATAATTGTATACAAACATAATTAAATATTACTGTAATTATATAAATGTTTATTAAAATAATATTGTTATATCATTATTAAATAAAAAATGTGTTCATATAATAATATTATATCAATATTATAGTTATATATATATAAATATTAGAATATAGAATATATATTTCAGAATTTTAGAATTTTATTATTTTATTAAATGTAGAATTACAACATAATAAAATAAAATAAAATATACAATTATATCATTATTTTAATTATTATTTATTTCCATAATTATTGAATATATTATTTATTATTATTATTAGCTTATTAAATTAAATAAAATGAAATAACACCAAAAAAATTATTAAAAATATTGTTGCTCACCCAAAATATAAGTCTAAAAAAAATTCACAGTTCATTAGCCAATACACAAACCAATGTTGCGCCATCTATCGCCATTTGGTGCACACTCTGCAACAGCACATGTTAGCTGGTAGTCTTCTTCTGTGCAGAAGACTATAGCTTACTCTTTCACGCTCACGCACATGTAACCATTAAAATTATATTCTGCAGCGTCCAAAATTCGTAAGCATGTATGAGAAATCGAAATCGCTTTTGTCGCAGGTACCCAACTTATTTTTCTGCTTGCCTGGTAAAAGACGCGCGCGGAGATACAACACCTCGACGCGAGTGACAACATTCATTCGCAGCATTCTTATTCCGGCAGCGAGAGCAAGCAAGCGGGTTGCTTCTGTGCTACTGCCACGGCGTTTACCTTTTGTGTTCAGAAATTGTGGACAAATAGAAAATAATACAAATTTTTTTTTTTTTGTTTTCGTTGAGTTGTGTTTAGACATTTTCGCTTTCGTTTGCTTTTTGCTGCGACGTAGTATTCATATATTTTTTTTTTTTGTATTAAACTGTATTTACATTTGTAAATAAACAAATTATATATATATATGTGTGTGTGTGTGTGTGTATGTCTGTATATTTGTTGAGTGAAGCGCAAATGTGTATTTGTGGAAATACTTTTGATTCAGTGAACGCATGAAGCACAGAATTAAACTAAATCAACCCCTGTATGAAGAATGCATTTCCAGGTAAAAACGTCCATAGAGCACAGCTGCTATGTTGATGATTTACCACAAGCACAGCTATGCAGCGCTGCCGCAGAGAAATTTATTTGAATAAGCCTAAAATAGCCTATGAAATGATCTACCAATGGCATATCATTGCACTGGCCAAGTGTAGTCAATCCATTATGTTACGACTCCACCCTCGCTTCGTTTAACTGACTTTTAATTGATTGAAGCTATCCATTTGTGCTTGGCACAATTAACACAGCTGTTTTCCTTGCCGTTGCCGTTGCCGCTGCCGCTGCCGTAGAATTTAATTCGCTGCATTCACATTACTAAGTTCAGCTGCATGAAGTTCGACTATAAAAAAATGTTTATGTATGCATTTTGCTTGCTATTCGCCACTTTTTGAAGGATTCAAGTCAAGTGCGAAACTAGTAATTGGCGGCGCTTCTTAAACGTAATTGAATTCTCTGTTTTTTTTTGAAATATGAAAAAATCTTGTTCATTTCTCATTTTTTTTTTAATTTGTATTTATTTAAAATGTATTATCGTCATTGAAATTAATTAAATAAATAATAATATTTTAGTTGAATATATCACTGCGCCCCGCGTTTTGATTTTTGTGCACACGTTCACTTGATTCATTATCCAGTGTGGCAATAAAAAAGTATGCCACCATTAAACTCCTCTTCGCAAGCAAGAATGTCTGCTGCTTCGTTGGCATTGCTAATGCGTCGCACTCTTCATTCGCGTTCCGCTACAACATACGCAAGCAGCAGTGTTGCTTTTTAGTGTAAACACGACAGCAAAAATTTTAAGAAAACAAAGTTTCTATTGCGCACGTCTAAAAATAATTGAAACCCATCAACGACTCAAATATCAGATATGAAATATAGTAACTTCAGTGAAGTCTGCTAAGAAAAGCTTTAGTATATTATATGGCATCATATAATATAAGCTGGGTTCTGGATCCATAAGTAAAGCATAGAACTTAAAAAACTCATATGTCAAAAAATGTATTGTCGCAGTAGGTCTCGCATAGACGTGATTTTCTTAGTTAAGAGAAAAAGCAGAAGAAGAAGAGCTTTCGATATATTATATGGCATAATATAATATTAGCTGGGTTCTGGATCTATAAGTAAAGCTAAGAACTTATAAGACTCATATGTCAAAAAATATATTGTCGCAGTAGTTCTCGCATAGACGTGATTTTTTAATTAAGAGAAGAAGAAGAAGAGCTTTGGTATCAAATAATGTCAGCTGGGTTCCAGATCCATAAGTAAAGCTAAGAACTTATAAGACTCATATGTCAAAAAATGTATTGTCACAGTAGTTCTCGCATAGACGTGATTTTCTTAGTTAAGAGAAAAAGCAGAAGAAGAACTTTGATATATTATTTGGCATCATGTAATATAAGCTGGGTTCTGAATCCATAAGTAAAGATAAGAACTTAAAAGACTCATATGTCAAAAAATATATTGTCGCAGTAGTTCTCGCATAGACGTGATTTTCTTAGTTAAGAGAAAAAGCAGAAGAAGAAGAGCTTTCGATATATTATATGGCATCAAATAATGTTAGCTGGGTTCCGGATCCATAAGTAAAGCTAAGAACTTATAAGACTCATATGTCAAAAAATATATTGTCACAGTAGGTCTCGCATAGACGTGATTTTCTTAGTTAAGAGAAAAAGCAGAAGAAGAAGAGCTTTCGATATATTATATGGCATCAAATAATGTTAGCTGGGTTCCGGATCCATAAGTAAAGCTAAGAACTTAAAAGACTCATATGTCAAAAAATATATTGTCACAGTAGTTCTCGCATAGACGTGATTTTCTTAGTTAAGAGAAAAAGCAGAAGAAGAAGAGCTTTCGATATATTATATGGCATCAAATAATGTTAGCTGGGTTCCGGATCCATAAGTAAAGCTAAGAACTTATAAGACTCATATGTCAAAAAATGTATTGTCGCAGTAGGTCTCGCATAGACGTGATTTTCTTAGTTAAGAGAAAAAGCAGAAGAAGAAGAGCTTTCGATATATTATATGGCATCAAATAATGTCAGCTAGGTTCCGGATCCATAAGTAAAGCTAAGAACTTAAAAGACTCATATGTCAAAAAATATGTTGTCACAGTAGTTCTCGCATAGACGTGATTTTCTTAGTTAAGAGAAAAAGCAGAAGAAGAAGAGCTTTCGATATATTATATGGCATCAAATAATGTTAGCTGGGTTCCGGATCCATAAGTAAAGCTAAGAACTTATAAGACTCATATGTCAAAAAATATATTGTCGCGGTAGTTTTCACATAGACGTGATTTTTTAATTGAGAGAAGAAGAAGAAGAGCTTTGGTATCAAATAATATAAGCTGGGTTCTGGATCCATAAGTAAAGCTAAGAACTTAAAAGGCTCATATGTCAAAAAATGTATTGTCGCAGTAGTTCTCGCATAGACGTGATTTTTTAATTGAGAGAAGAAGAAGAAGAGCTTTGGTATCAAATAATGTCAGCTAGGTTCCGGATCCATAAGTAAAGCTAAGAACTTAAAAGACTCATATGTCAAAAAATGTATTGTCGCAGTAGGTCTCGCATAGACGTGATTTTCTTAGTTAAGAGAAAAAGCAGAAGAAGAAGAGCTTTCGATATATTATATGGCATCAAATAATGTTAGCTGGGTTCCGGATCCATAAGTAAAGCTAAGAACTTATAAGACTCATATGTCAAAAAATGTATTGTCGCAGTAGGTCTCGCATAGACGTGATTTTCTTAGTTAAGAGAAAAAGCAGAAGAAGAAGAGCTTTCGATATATTATATGGCATCAAATAATGTTAGCTGGGTTCCGGATCCATAACTAAAGCTAAGAACTTATAAGACTCATATGTCAAAAAATATATTGTCACAGTAGGTCTCGCATAGACGTGATTTTCTTAGTTAAGAGAAAAAGCAGAAGAAGAAGAGCTTTCGATATATTATATGGCATCAAATAATGTTAGCTGGGTTCCGGATCCATAACTAAAGCTAAGAACTTATAAGACTCATATGTCAAAAAATATATTGTCACAGTAGGTCTCGCATAGACGTGATTTTCTTAGTTAAGAGAAAAAGCAGAAGAAGAAGAGCTTTCGATATATTATATGGCATCAAATAATGTTAGCTGGGTTCCGGATCCATAACTAAAGCTAAGAACTTATAAGACTCATATGTCAAAAAATATATTGTCACAGTAGTTCTCGCATAGACGTCATTTTTTAATTAAGAGAAGAAGAAGAGCTTTCGATATATTATATGACAGCATATAATATGAGCTGGGTTCTGGATCCATAAGTAAAAATATATTGTCGCTGTAGCTCTCGCATAAAAATTTTGACATATACTTGTACTAATGCTGATTTAGTTAAATATTTAAAAAATTTAAATAATCTTCACACTTTCTAGGATATATATACAGCACGTTAAAATCATAAACTTTTACATTCTTATATGCTAAATATTGCAATATATAATATACATATATAAACTTTTATGAAAATTAAAGCAGAATTTATATCATTAGTAAAGTTATTATTTCAACACAATATTTAAACATATATATATATTTATATTATATATGATATATATTATATTATATATATTTTATTATGTTTTATGTATATTATATATTATACATATTATATATTATATATATATAACGATCACAATACTTTGCGTATATTCTCACCATACACAATATGTCGAAACAGGTTCCGATTCCTTTCCGAGCAATTTTCCAATCTTAAATTTTTTATATATCAAAAAATAAGTTCTTTAACATTTTTGCTTATACTGTCAATATACCTGCGACTGTCAATATACCTGCGACTAAATGTTATCCGTTATTGTATTATGTATTGTGCACTCGTAAACCACACAATTCTGACTACCATGTTGGACTACCGAAACAAGGTCGGAGCATTGTGTGCGCTACACATATAAATTGAATTATAAAATCCAAAAAAATATTTTTCCTAATTTATACAGACAAAATTAAGAAAACCTATCCGTACCTAACAACCTTACCGATCGATCAAAAAATACTTGGAAGTGAATTTCACTTCTAAACACAATTTACGCAAGTTAGTAACATCATCATCAAGAATGCCACTCTTCGACTTCTTGACCTTGAATCAATCTGCTAAATGGTCAAACCAAAATGCTTTATTACAAACAACTAGTACGACCAATCTTTGCATATTCATTTTTCATTTACTACGAAATCTCATCTAGTCAAATGGAAAGCCTTCGAGAGTTTGAAAGAAGAGTGTTCTGAGACTGTATTAAATATAAGTGCAAACTCGATGGCAGACAATTCTCTAACTCCAACATCAACAAATCTTCTAACATCGAGTAAAAAGATTACTTTCAGTAATCCGCAGCGATACGATACTTTACCAGGCGTTCTCCCTGGTATTCTGCGCTCACCTCATTTTTCGATCGAACTATTTAATAATATGGGATATAAACCACCTCAATTCCTTTAGCTTTATCTGGATGATATAGTCCGCGTCTTTGTTGAAATCCCGCTCTATAATCGTGTTTACAACAATCACTTATTCTTAGTCAGTAATAATTACCTAGCAAGAACATCCTTAATTCCTGTCCTCACTTGTTTCCAATTTCGGTTTAGACAGATTTGTTTTGCAAATACTAACCCTTCTGTATTCTACTCGGCTCTTAATGTCTGCCTTTATCTTGATTACTAGAATAGG